AAGTTTTTAGTGACATAACCAATAAGTCGTGTTTAGTCAGGCTTTTCCGAAATTTTCGTTAATGTGGTCTTTGGACATATCAAATGAATCCATGATGAATAAAAAAATCCATCCCTCCATGCTCCAAGTTCACTTTGTTGTACAAAAATGAGTTATAATAGAATAGAGCCACATAGGATAACATCTAATTTCATGACATATCCTTACAGTTTTGATTTTACTTCACACAAATACTTTTTTTTCCACGCGTACTGTAGTTTTTTTTGGAACTTTTCACGTGCTTTTTTTTTTCACGCGTACTCGTTGTTATGCAGGCTTTTCAGACAAATATACTCTACCTTGGATTACGTACCACAGTACCAGTACCGACCAAAAGTATCACCTTTTATACATTTAAATTAACCAATTTTGTTTATTCATATGCTCAAAAACATCTTCTATTCTTGTAGTTATTGTAAAGATTATGCATCAGGTCTTTTTGTATAACTACTACTTATATCCATAACTTAAATAGAGTCGTATAAGTTGGCGGAACAGAATATATAGTAGTGTAGGTAGAATGTTAGAACCATTCAATACTTATATTCATTAAGTCGAGTTTTATATACATGCGTCGCGTGAACTCAGGTAAAAGGGATCAAATTTTTATAAAATGATAAAATTATAAAAATGATTATTCGTTAATCACTGATAATTTGTTCTTTTTTGGAAAAACTAGGTATTTACCCGCGCTATGCTGCGGGATATTTTTCTAAATTTTATATATATTTTTAATATAATAAAATTATTTTTATAATATAAATGAGTATTATATTTATTTTTATTAGTTTAAGTTATGTATTTATATGTTTTAAATCTGAATAAATATTATATATATATATATTTTTATTTTAAAATTATAATTTGCTATTAAATTTAGTTAGCTAACTAATTATAAATGTATATATAAGAATAAATATATATAAATAAAGCAATATATTTTTAGTACTTTCATGCTAATGGCAAATATAATCTACTTTTTCTAATAAATTGCCACATCATCCTCCTTTGTAATTATATAAAGCAAAATGCCATTTACAAAAAGATTTATTAATTAATATGATTATTTTGAATTATAAAATTTATTTATTTATCAAACATTTTATCATAAACATATGTTTCTAAAACTACCAAACTATAATCAATAACATTCATATCAAAACAATTGCTATTGCTTTAGAACTAAATAGAAAATTATGTATGAATTCTTAAAATATCGTTTTACTTAAAGTTAAATAACTAAATTTTGGTTATTGTAAACATACTTTAACTTGGAAATTTAGCACAGAGAAAATTTATCTTTTTACAAAAATCGAGAAGTCGCATTTCCCATCAAAACAAAAAATTCATTTTCTCGTCAAACCTAAAACCTAAAATATCATTTTCTCGCGAGAACCTGTGTTTTTCCACCAAAGCCGAGAAATTACGTTTTTTCACAAAAACCAAAAAATTTCATCTTCCTCCAAAAACCAAAAAAAATTGTATTTTCCCGTCAAAATCGAAAAATTTATTTTTCCTGCGAAAACTGAGAAATCGTCTATTCCTGCCAAAACAAAAAAAAAATCATTTTCTCGTCAAGCCCAGAATCACGCTTTCCTACAAAAACAAATAAACTACAATTTCCTGCGAAAACCCAAAATGCATTATCTCCCGTGGAATTGTGTTTTCCTGCGAAAACTAAAAAATTGTTATGTTTTTATCGGTTCAAATTTTTGCTGATGTGTGAGCTTTTTATAACATAAGACTTTTTGCGTTGTTGTCATGGGAGCATAGTTGATGCTGAGCCTACACTTTTTCAATTATATATGTCTATGTCAAACAAACAAATAGCTAGAATTTTTTTATTATTTATTTGTTGTTATTTATTATTTGGATTTGGTTTTAGCAAAAAAAAATAATGATTTAATATTTTATTTGTTTTTATTTATTATTTGGGTTTGGATTTGACAAAAAATAAAATAATGATTTTTTATTTTCTGTTATTAATTATATGGGCTTGAGTTTGGTAAAAAATAAAATAAAAATTAACAGAAAAAAATATCTGGGCTTTTAATGGGTTTAAGTTTAAAAATTAAAATAAGTAGATGAAATGTATTAATAAAATGTTTTGATTGGTGATTATTTTTGCTGATGTGTCATATTTATAAAGCTTAAAAAAGCTGAGGTGTCAAACTATAGAAAGACTTTAATGTTATTGTTGTGTTGATTACTCGCAACAGACCAGTCCAAAAAAGTGGACAAACCAAAAAAACAAAACAAAAACAGAAGCAAATAACCGAGAACAGACCAAGCCTTAAAAAAGGCCCAATAGATGATTACAACCCCTTTTGAGGCCCATTATCTTCGGCTTCACGTCATGCATAGCCGATTTATTTGTAGCGACGCCGACGACGGAATCGTAAACACCGTTGATTCAGCCGGCGAAACATCAGCATTATTTTTTCATTTCGGAAAGAGGACAATTTTGCCAGCATCATTCACGGGAGGACCCAGATACATGATTGAAAATTATCATGATGCAATGGCCATTTATCGAACTTATGGAAATCCTCATCTGTTTATTACTATAACGGCAAATCCAGGTTGGGAAGAAATTAAAGAACACTTGCAAGACTAAATACTTGCAAATCCAGATTTTCTTATGATGAATGAAATATATACAAAATTTAACATGGTTTTAATATTTTTTGATATTTTGTATATATTTTTATATAATAAAATTATTTTTATAATAAAAATGAATATTACATTTTTAGTAGCTTAAATTAGGTATTCATATGTTTTTAATCTAAATAAACATAATATATTCTTTGATTTTTTTATTTTTTAAAATTATAATTTACTATCAAATTTGTTTAGCTAACTATCTATAAATTTATATGTAAGAATTAAACAATACATTTTTAAGTCCCTTCATGCTAATATCAAATGTAATTTATTTTCTCTACTAAATTGCCACTTGATCGTCCTTTGAAATTATATAAAGCAAATTACCATTTTTTTTAAAAAAATATTAATTAATATGATTATTTTGAATTATAAAATTTATTTATTTATTATAAACATATGTTTCTAAAACTATCAAACTATAATCAATAACATTCATATCAAAACCATTGCTATTGCTTTAGAATTAAACAGAAAATTCTGTTTGAACTATTGAAATATCAATTTAGTTGAAGTTAAATAATTCAATTTTGGTTACTATAAACATATTGTAATTTAAAAATTAGTACAGAGAAATTTTTATCTTTTTACAAAAACCAAAAATTGCATTTTCTGACAAAACAAAAAAAATTCAGTTTTCCACGAGAAACATATGTTCCCACCAAAACAGAGAAATCAAGATTTTTCACCAAAACCAAAAAATTTCATATTCTAGAAAAACAAAAAATCGTATTCTTTCGTCAAAACAAAAAAAAAAATTTTTCCACAAAAACCGAGAAATCGTCTATTTTGGTCAAAACAAAAAAAGTATTTTTCCCATCAATCAAAGAATCACGTCTTCCTACCAAAACCGATAAACTACAATTTTCCGCAAAAAAAATTTGCATTACCCGAGAAATTGCATTTCTCACGAAAACTAACAAATCGCATTTTTCCGCAAAAACCAAAATATCACTATATATGTCAAAAACTGAAAATTTGCATTTTCTATCAAAACCGTGAAATTGTTTATTCCCGCCCAAAATCGAATAATTTTGTTTTCACATGAAAACGAGAAATTGAATTTTCCACCAAAATTATCAAATTACAATTTCCCGCGGAAACTAAAAAATCACATTTCCCTGCAAAAATCAAGAGATCACATTATCCATCAAAAGCCGAAAATTTGCATTTCCTATCAAAACTGAGAAATCATATTTTTCATCAAAATTGAAAGTTGCATTTTCCTCGCATTTTCTCGTCAAAACTAAGATATTTTTTCGTGTTAAAATAAATAAAAAAATCTCACCAAAATCAAAAATTCACATTTTTTCGCCAAACCTGATAATTCGCTTTTTTCCGCCCTAACCGAAAAATTATGTTTTCCTACCAAAACTGAAAATTATATTCTCCTCCCGAAACTAAGAAATTCTCTATTCCCGCCAAACCCAAGAAAATTTGTTCTCGGTAACCACCAGAAATGTGAATCTCTAAGCTGTGGTGGTCTGAGCTTCTCCTCATTTGCTTTCGACTTCCACTTTTTTGCAAACTTTGAGCTTTTTAATGGGTTAGTAAAATAGTAAACTGATTTTATTAGTGTATTAATGATATGTATTATTGTTATGTTTTTATTGGTTCAAATTTTTGCTGATGTGTGAGCTTCTTATAACATAACGTTTTTTTGCGTTGTTGTTATGGAAGCATAGTTGATGATAAATCTATATTTTTTTCAATCATATATGTCTCTATCAAACAAACACATAGTTAGAAATTTTAATTTTTTTTTGCTGTTATTTATTATTTGAATTTCGGCTTGACAAAAATATAAAACAAAAATTTAATTATTTTATTTGTTGTTATTTATTATTTATATTTTAGGATGGTAAAAAGTAAAATAATTTTTTTTTGCTGTTATTTATTATTTGGGTTTGGGTTTAGCAAAAAAAAAACAAAGATTAACAAAAAAAAATTTGGGTTTTTAATGGATTTAAGTTAAAAATAATAAAAATTAGTAGATGATGTATATTAATAAAATGTTTTGATTGGTGTTTTTTTGTTGTTGAGGTGTCAACTTTAGAAAATTTGAAAATACTGATGTGTCCAGCTATGGAGATACACTTGTATTATTGTTGTGTTAGATTCATATGCTCAGAAACATCTATTGGTTAATCGCAACAGACCAGTCCAAAAAAGTGGACAAACCAAAAAAAACAAAACAAAAACAGAAGCAAATAACCGAGAACAGACCAGGCCTTAAAAAGGCCCAATAGATTATTACAACCCCTTTTGAGGCCCATTATCTTCGGCTTCACGTCATGCGTAGCCGATTTATTTGTAGCGACGCCGACGACGGAATCGTAAACACCGTTGATTCAGCCGGCGAAACAATGGAAAGTGAAACAATTCAGGAGGAGCTTCAGAGTTTAGAGCTCGAGCTTAAGGATGTTCAAGGTTACGTTTCTTCGTTTCGACTCGTTTCTATCTTAGCTTTTGTGTTGTTCTAGGGGAACATAATTCGTCTTGGGAATATGGTATCCATTGAGAGGTTTAAGAGAATTCTCCGACTTCATAGCCTTAAGAACTTGGACTATTGTCTTTGATGATGCTTGACGAAATTAGGAAAACGGAAAAGAGTTAAATTGAAATCGTGTTGATTGAAATCGCTCTCACAGGTCAGATAAGTGCTTTGATCGAGCACCAAGACAGATTGTACGAGAGGAAGTCTGAGCTGAAGACATTGTTAAAAGCAGTAGCAGCTTCATCAACCCCTGTTGCTGCATCTGGCGGCTCCTCGAGCGCTGTAGAGAATTGGTCTGAGCCATTCGAGTGGGATTCTCGTGCTGATGATGTTAGGTTTAACATTTTCGGCATATCCAAGTACAGAGCCAACCAGAGGGAAGTAAGTGACTTCTGCAGTTTTTCTCTGAATCCAATTTGAGGATATGGGATTAGTTTGATGATCAATCTTGTTCCTTTGGATGAACATGACAGATTATTAACGCTGTAATGGCGGGAAGAGATGTCCTTGTGATCATGGCGGCTGGTGGTGGGAAGAGTCTTTGCTATCAGCTTCCGGCTATACTTCGCGGTGGTACAACACTTGTCGTCAGTCCTTTACTTTCACTGATTCAGGATCAGGTTGGTACTAAGCTTGAAGAGAAATAGTTTGATTAGATTTGTGTTTAGTTTACTCAATTGTTTATGGTTGTTCAGGTTATGGGTTTGGCTGCTCTAGGGATATCAGCCTACATGCTGACTTCTACTTCTGGCAAGGAGAATGAGAAATTTGTGTACAAGGCACTTGAAAAGGGTGAGGATGACCTGAAGATACTGTATGTAACTCCGGAGAAGGTATCGAAGAGCAAAAGATTCATGTCAAAGCTTGAAAAGTGTCACAACGCTGGTCGCCTCTCTCTGATTTCAATTGATGTAAGTCATTTCCTGGTTTCAAGCTTCTTACTCAATACTTTTTTTTAAGATGCTGCTACCTAGTTTATATAACAATATCCGCACAATTGATACGAAACTATCTTTTGAATGTTCAGTATCCTATGTTACGTTGCTTTGTAGGAGGCTCATTGTTGTAGTCAGTGGGGCCACGATTTTCGCCCTGATTACAAGAACCTAAGCATTCTGAAAACTCAGTTTCCCAAAGTTCCCGTGGTGGCTTTGACGGTGTGTTCTTTTTTTATTTTTGTCATATGGTTCATACTTTTTGTTACGTTTGAGCTCTCTGAACTTACATACTCACTGGTATTGTCAAGGCATTCTGGTTCAGTGGGTGTAGAATGTCAAACTCTGTTACAAGTTACAACCTTTCAAATAATTTCTGGAAGTCTGAATATTTCATTTTCCCTGATTCTTTATGTCTCAACTGTAGGCAACTGCTACACAGAAGGTCCAAAATGATCTGATAGAGATGCTGCATATTCCTAAATGCGTCAAATTTGTTAGCAGTGTTAACAGGCCAAACCTCTTTTACTCGGTACTCTTAGTAATAAATTTTATTATTATAGGTTTCTGATGCCGTGGATAGTTTTTAGGCGTGAACATGAGCAGTAAATTGTCTTGCAGGTTCGAGAAAAGTCGCTGGTTGGTAAAGTTGTGGTCGATGAAATTGCAGAATTCATACGGGAATCATATTCTAACAATGAATCTGGAATAGTCTATTGTTTCTCTCGCAAGGAGTGTGAACAGGTATGTACCTTAAATCCACACATCATCATATGTACTGACCTCACCATCCTGTATTTCTTTTGCACCTTTCATTCTTGATATTCATTCTTAAACCCCACAGAATGAATCAGGGAAGAAAAACTTTCATATTTTCTCTTACAAGCAATGGTGATAGATTGCAGGTGATTTACGAGAGAGAGGGATCTCTGCTGATTATTACCACGCAGAAATGGATGTAAATATGCGCGAAAAAGTTCATATGCGGTAAGGTTCAGTTCTGATGCAGCATAACTATGCTGGTCCAGTTAGTGATGTGCAATTTGCAGCATTTCCTGATTTTTGTTGTTCTTTCATGTTCACAGATGGAGTAAGAACAAGTTGCAGGTCATTGTTGGAACAGTACGTGAATTCCTCCCGTTATCATTCCGTTATTTTGTGGTACAGTAATATACATTTATCAACTCTGATTGCTCACTCTGCAGGTTGCCTTTGGCATGGGAATCAACAAGCCTGATGGTTAGTAGTGCTAATCTTTGACTTTCAGTTTCCTTACTGCAGATTTATTTCTCTGGCGAGTTATTTTTCTTTCAGTGACACAGTAGTTACAGATTTGTAATTAATCAACTGATACATGGGGCATTTTTGTAGTCAGGTTTGTCATCCACCACAGTTTGAGCAAATCAATGGAGACTTACTACCAGGTTCTAGTCACTTGTCCACTTAAACTCAAACTCGATGTGGTGGTTATGAGGTTGCATCTTATCACTGTTACATCATACTGCAGGAAAGTGGTCGTGCTGGTCGTGATGGCCTCCCATCTGAGTGCGTCCTCTTTTTCCGTTCGGGCGATGTTCCTAGGCAGGCAAGGATCAATTTTACTGTACCGTGCTTATCTGTGCTAATACATATTTAAATTTCGTGATTTTTTTCTTTCTCCTCCAACAGAGTTCCATGGTATTCTATGAGTATTCTGGTCTGCAGAACCTCTATGATATAGTACGATATTGTCAGGTATGCTGTTTCATTTCCTCTTTCCTGAAGACTGCATTACCATTGTTACACATGTAAACATATCTGTGGCAAACTTTGGCAATCAGCACTTTTATTAGCTAATGTACCAACATATTGTTTTCTTTTGGTAAGTCTTGTATCTTGTCTAGCGCTAAGGGTCACGATTTTGAAATGTTATAAGTTGTACGCTATCTTATGAACCATAGTTTCTGAATTTCCTTGTTGCAGTCTAAAACAAAATGTCGTCGAAGTGCTTTTTTCCGTCATTTTGGGGAGCCATCACAAGATTGCAATGGTATTCTTGTCTAGTAGTCGTCCAATACTGATAGAAATTGTACTACGTCCGTTGATTCTAGATTTTCTGATGTGCTGAATGTTATTCTGCATTCGGTTAGGAATGTGTGACAACTGTGCCTTGTCTAGTGGGGTCAAGGAGGTTGATGTATCGGGTATGTCCCTACATTCGCTTGTTTAGTTCAATTTTGCTCTAAGGATCGACAGTTAACTTGCAAATTCTTAACAACTATCAGCCGTAAGTTATAATTTCATAATGATTTTTCGGCGTCCTGACACTTTTTGCAGACCTAGCCAAGCTCGTGGTTTCTATGGTGCAAGAAATGCAAGCCAAGGATCAAAGAGTGACAATGTTACAGCTGGGTGACAAACTCAGAGCTAAGCACAAGGATCTAAGTTGGTTTCATTTCATTAGTTTGACTTGCAAACAATCTTTAAAGCCTTAATCTCTCGCTCTATGATTTTCTTGTTGTTGTTGATCGGCTGTGGTTAACCCTAGGTGCTGAGCTAAAGAGAGAAGAGATAGAACATCTCGTGATAAAACTGATTGTTGACTCGGTATTGGTAAGATCATTGTCCGTGTTTATAGTTTTTTTTGTTAGATTTTATTATCGACACGTGATAAAATCCAGCTCAAGATAATAACATGTCAGACAAAAACTCTGATATCTTGCAATGCCTTAAAACCCCTGTAAGATTGTGCCATTAGTTTCTTCAGGCTTTGAGTTTTGTTTCTTTTTTTTGTGCAGAAAGAAGAATTCCAACACACACCATACTCGACTAACGCTTATGTAACCATGGGACCGTTGGCAAACCAATTGTTGCAAGGTAAGGAGTGATGAATTACCGTTTTTCACGCTCACATGAACACTATAGGCTTGAGAATCTACAAATGGCCCGTTTTCTCGGTTTGATTGAAGTCAAATCAATAGAAAAGAAATCATAGAAGCTGTAAATATTAGAGGCATCATGCATGGTTTTAATGAGTATAGATTAAAGTTGAAGTTCAACAAATCCCATTATCTATCAATGTTTTGGCCATTCTTTGGCTAGCTCTAGATTTTTTTTCTCTACTTTCATAGACTAGACTCTTGAAACAAATCCTGTCTTTGTGATCCGGTACAGGAAGAAAGACGATCAAAACAGAAACCTCAAGCAGACAAATCAACAAGAAAACAAAAAGAACAATTTCATTTTCCGGGTTAGAATCCAAGCTTGACGAGCTACGGAAGGAGATATCCGCAGCTAATGGAAGCATACTCCCTCACACGATCCTCTCAACTCAACAGATTAGCTTGATAAGCTCCCAAAAACCTGATTCATTAAAAGAGGCGAGTTTGGCCAATGAAAAAAAAAAAAGACTTTTTTATCAAGATTTATGTTTGATGGCTTCCCTTTAAAGGTTTTATTGGTTGGATTTGCAGTTGGAGAGTATTATAGGAAAACTGAAAACAGAGAAGTATGGAGACAGGATTCTTGAAGTAGTGATGAGACACAATGCAGTCTCTGAACAAGTTGTTGAAGATCCAACAAAGGGGGATACATGTAAAAGCAGATCAAGTAAGAGAGCTAGGACACAGAAGAATGTTGTTTTGGTAGAAAGCAGCGAAGATGAAGAAGAAGCTTTATAAATCATCGTAGCTGTTGGGAGAATTTTTACACCATTCTTAAACTTATCTCAGAAATTAACCGAATTTATATTATTAATCATTTTGACCGGTGGTTTTCCGCTAATTGCTCTTCACGATTCTATGCATTTACCAGGCATATGAGGAATTGACATTTGGAGATGCTTAATCATACAAATGATTCTGTTTCCACTTTTTTGACAAGTCTCTCAAGTGTTGTTCTTCATCTGAGGCTGAAGCTTTGTCCTAAATCCTCGAACCCAAATCGAAACCATGTCTTGTAGTTTCTCCACAAGGCCAGCTCCTTGGCTTTGTCTCCTTACAGTATCGATCAGATCCCGGTATTCCAATAGCGTAGCCTCTGGTAAAGGTTCCAAGAACTCACACTTGGACAAAATCTCTGGAAGAGGAACACCAGAAACGAGGTTTGTATCCAGTTTCGCTCTGCTTTTCTTTGTTTCTTCGGGTTCTCTAACTAGAGGACCCTCAAGAGCTGAAGGAGATGCACCGGGAATCACTTCCCGTGTGAAGGGTAATGATCTCGCGGGTTGCAAGCAGAACTCTATCCACTGGTGGATTAATGGGGATGGTCCTCGTACTCGCCCTCCTAGCTTCTCTGATTCTTTACCAGAGTCAGAAACAGCCGGGATTGCCTTTAGAAAACAATGATGCTTCACGGGTTAGTTGTCCATATATGTTAAGAATTTGAGAGGAAGGATTAAGAAACTTTAAGAAGGTGCTTACCCATAGATCAGCCCATAAGGTGGCACCGGATTTTGGAACAATCACTGTAACGTTTGACATACGTTTTGCGACAGGGATTACATCGCTGCTCCAACCGACAGTGACCCAGACATCCCCGACATTGAAAGCTTTTAGATAGTTGCTACTGTCAAACAGTCTAATCTGTGAGCAAAAGGAGAAGCAAATATGAGCAGACATTATCATTTTTACTATGGAGAGAGAGAGAGAGAGAGAGCGAGAGCAAAAGACCTGTTTCATAAGCGATGCTAGATTTTTCTCCAGAGCGGTTCTTCCACCAGTAACTTGTGAATCAAGGTCTGTCGTGTTGTATGATGCTCCCATGTATTTGAGAACAGCACCAACAACCTCTCTAGGAGAATTCACCATTGAGATCCTCCCCGCAAGCTCCGGTCGCCACAGATCAGCCCAGTCCTAAAAATCGGGAAACATATTCTCAGTGACATTCACTTCTTTTTTTAATAGACACTTGGACAGCATTTCAACTTAGTCTATGAGCAAAGCACCAAAGAAAGCAATCACAGACCTCTATTGGAGCCAATTTATACTGCTGAAATTTGCTCTTCTTGTATGCTATTACCATGCTTCCCCATCGGTATGGCACAGCCCACGTTTCGCCGTCACGAGCTTTCTCTCCCGCGTTGTTCCTGCGGAGATAAACCTGAGACTTTCTAAGTCACGAAATGAACACTAAGAACATTTTCCAAGTTATACAGAAAATGAAACACATGAAAAAAAAAAATCAATCAATCTATCTGATCAATAGAAATCGCAGAAATTAAACCACTGATCTAAATCCTCACCTTCCATTTATCACTCAAGCCTTTATACCAGTCTTGATCTTCTATCCCTTTCATTGGCTCAATCAGCTTTTCTTTAATCGCGAAACTAAGCCAAGAATCACCAATGCTGATCATATCAGCTGCAGAAGTTGAAGCAGACCCTTTTTTGCCTTTTCTTGTTGGCATCGATAGATCGGAGAGAATTTCCTCAAGATTCCCTTGGAATCTGGTTTTTAGCCTCACTCTCTTCCCTTGTGAGCTCATGAAATCCTAAACATTTAACATCCAACAAGAGACATTTCAACTATAAGCTAAGATGCAAATGGTGGCGAAAATTGCTCAAAGTAGTGGAACAATGGAGAACTAAAGACTAAACCTTGATCCATGATGGTGGCACTGAGCCACGCAGGGCAACGACTTTTAGCGGTACAGTCAGAGAATACACTTTAGCCTTGTAAGCTTCGAAATCTGCTTCCAATTTTCTCTCTTCATCTTCATTTGGAACTTCATGGTTCTCCTCACCTGCTACAGTTTCGGACTCGATTTCATTCTCTGTAACGGAATGTGAAGCGATTACTGGTGGAGGTATTCGAGCGGAGGCCGGAGAGCAGACGCGAAGGCTTAAACCGAGGAAAAGCACAGTCGAGGCAGAGAGACGGACGATACTCTCATGAAACCGTTCGCCTCGAGAAACTCGTGCGACAGAAAATCCATCGGAAGTTCTCTTTACTCCGTCGCGTCGGTTTCCGCCGAAGTAGAATTTCGCCGGCGGTTTCAGCGAAAGAGACGCCGCCGCAGCCATTTTGTCTCTTCCGATGAAAACGCAAAGGTGAAAGACGAACAACGACAATAGCTTCTTTCTCTAATCTCGATCGGTTCAGTCCGGTTTAATCAAACCGGTGGGCTTATACAATATGGCCCGTAAATTTAATATAACGGGCCTTTAAATGGGCCCAATTATGGTCTTCAACTTTCGACAAAATAGATAGCTAAGGTCTAGCTGGCACAATAATTGGGTTTCTATCGTAGTTATAAAAAGAAAGCGTCGGTTGACACGTGCGGATGGTCATAATCGGCACGTGTGAGTCCCACTTCGATTTCTCTCATTGGTCGTTAGCCGATGCTTTGGAGAAGAAAGCATCTCACAAATTAATAAACACTCTTCACACTCTCTCTCACTCTACTTTCTCTCTCTTCAAATCTTACCATAAATCACACACACACAAAAAAGTCGATTCCTTTTTTTTTTTTTCCTTCCTCCTTATTATTTGTAGTTTGCTTTACAGCTCAATTAGTCGTCGTCTTCTTCCTCTGTCCTATTCTTCTTCATCTTCCTCCTCGCGGATCCATTTTTAGAGGTTCATTTAATTTTACTCTCAATTTGGTTCTTTTGCTAGAAAGCTGTAACCTTTGAATCTGTTTTGATATTGTGGGAAGAGTGTGGTTTTGGTGTTTCGCTTTGAATCATTTTCCGATTTATTGTTAAGTTGTTTGAATCTTTACTTCTTACTGTGTTAGGACTAATGATGGTATCTGGGAATTTCGTAATCTCAGCTAAACTTGAGCTGTTTTTGAGCTCGTGGTTAGTGATGAATTTGGAATTTTGGCAGAATTACGCTTCTTGCTTTCTGATTTTAGAGATTGGGAAGTGGGTTTTTGATTCTTGTGAGACAATTTCACTGTTCTGGGTACTCAAAATGTAGATTAGAGCATGCAAAGGTTGTGTGGGAGAGCTTTGATGTGTAGTTGAGAATTGGTTGTTTTTTTTTATGTGAAATTGTGTATCTCATGTTATGTTCTATATGTTCTTGAACTTCCCAGGAATCGAAATCAATATAAAATCTGATAAAATAGTTATTTCCTTTGTGATCAGGAGTTTTGTTTCTTACATGGGTTCATCAAATAGCTGACTGGCTATTTGTTACAAGTGCAACATCCAAGAGGCTGTTCTTTCAATGAATTGTAGTAATTCTATTATGCTTGGTCAGTGCCACGATGGGCATCTGTGAGATGAAAAGCTGCTGCTCATGGCTTCTTTTGATCTCATTGCTTTCTGCACTATCAAATGAAATTCAAGCGATTAGCTCTGACGGTACAGCGATGTGGATCACTATTACCATTTTCTGTCTTCTGGGACTTTGATAGAGCTTTAATCCTTCTTTTGGCTCGTTACATTCTTTAGGCGAGGCGCTTCTGATCTTCAGAGATGCAGTTAGTAGATCAGATAGTTTCATCCATCAGTGGAGACCGGAGGATCCTGATCCATGTAAATGGAACGGGGTGACATGTGATGCAAAAACGAAAAGAGTCATAACCTTGTAAGTTTTGAAACATGCTTGATTTTAAGTTGTCTTTTCTTCAGCATCTGTTGTCCCTAATGTTTCTTGTTTCGCAGGAATCTTACTTATCACAAAATAAACGGACTTTTACCTCCTGAGCTTGGAAGGCTGGACCATTTGAGGCTTTTGTATGTCCTCTAACTTCATTTAATTTCTATTTCTTAAGAGTGTACTCTTATGCTGATCATTTGTGCAACGATGCAGGATGCTTCACAACAATGGTTTGTATGGACCAATACCTACAACTTTGAGAAATTGCACGGCGTTGGAGGGAATGTGAGTGCTTTTCCGGAACATTTATGCTGAAAATCCATTTTTTAAAGAGCATCATCAAAAATTTCTAACTGTTTTTTTTTTTTTTTTGCAGTTTCTTGCAGAGTAACTACTTAAGTGGAGCAATCCCAGCGGAAATGGGAGACCTGTCTGGCCTTCAAAAGCTGTATGGTGTTTTTTTCCTCCATATACTTATGCATCGACCGTTTGGTCTCTGCAATATCTCTTAGTTTTTGGTCTATTTACTTCTCTCACCATCTAGGATCATGATAACCTATGGTTAACTGCAACATATCTTCTCACGCTTTACTATTTTCAGAACTAATTATGCGTCTATTCTTGGTGAACCTGTAAAAGAACTGAAATTTGACAAGCACGAAAATGTTTGCTCCGGTTTCACTTACTTCAATAGTTGTTGCCCCCTTCTCTTGACTAAAACTAACTTTCCACTTCTTTATTATTTTGAAGGGATATGTCAAGCAACTCTCTCAGTGGATCTATCCCTGCTTCGCTTGGGCAGTTGAAAAAGCTTACTAACTTGTGAGGACCTTAATCTCTATCTCCCGCAGTAATTTTCCATATTCCAGTCCTCTGAATCTTTCTGTTTCATTCGTCTTATGAAGCAATGTCTCAAACAACTTCCTGGTAGGGCAAATACCTCCAGACGGAGTGCTCTCTGGATTTTCTAAGAACTCGTAAGACGATAAACCCTTCTCTGTTAGAGAGTGTAAAAAATAAAGCTTGTAAAGTTACATTTCTACAATTTTTTGAACTATAGTGACCATTTAACTAGCTTGTATCAGCATAGCTGAAATTTATAAGATTCTCAAATTGATGCATTACCCTTACAGCTTCATTGGCAATCGTAAGTTGTGTGGAAAGCAAATTGATGTCGTGTGCCAAGATGATAGTGGAAACCCTTCTTCAAATTCCCAATCAACAGGTAAAGCAAATTATGCAACCCAGCAGTTTTCTGGTCAATATAGAGGTTTTGTTGTGGCTCTATGAATAATGTTATACTTATATTTGGTGTCTCCTACATTATAGGTCAAAATCAAAAGAAGAATTCTGGTAAGCTGCTTATTAGTGCATCAGCAACAGTAGGCGCGCTGCTCCTAGTGGCACTCATGTGTTTCTGGGGATGCTTTCTCTATAAAAAGCTTGGTAAAGTCGAGAGTAAAAGCCTTGCAATGGATGTTGGTGGAGGTGAGCCGTGTTGAAATTTTTTTCAAGTTTCTAGTTTCAGGTTTCTCTATCTCCTAAAGCTTCAATACGACTTTGACAATTCAGGTGCGTCTATTGTGATGTTCCACGGAGATTTGCCTTACTCTTCCAAAGACATCATTAAGAAGCTGGAAATGTTGAACGAAGAGCACATAATCGGGTGTGGAGGCTTTGGAACAGTGTATAAGCTAGCCATGGATGATGGCAATGTTTTTGCCTTGAAAAGAATTGTAAAGTTGAACGAAGGCTTTGATCGGTTTTTCGAGAGGGAGCTTGAGATTCTTGGGAGCATCAAACACAGATACCTAGTGAATCTACGTGGGTATTGCAATTCACCAACATCAAAGCTACTGCTGTATGATTACTTACCCGGTGGTAGCCTTGATGAAGCACTTCATGGTATTGATCCAATCTTCTCTTTACCGCTCTCTTCTTTATTATGAATGGTTTCACTGAAAGAAAGTTTTGGTTTCTTGAAATTAGTAGAGAGGGGCGAGCAATTGGACTGGGACTCGCGGGTAAATATCATCATAGGAGCTGCGAAAGGGTTATCATATTTGCATCATGATTGTTCTCCTAGGATCATTCACCGTGATATAAAGTCAAGCAACATTCTGCTTGATGGCAATCTCGAGGCTCGTGTGTCGGATTTTGGTCTCGCCAAGTTGTTGGAAGACGAAGAATCTCATATTACAACCATTGTTGCAGGCACGTTTGGGTACTTAGCTCCAGGTAAAGTTGGTTTTTTTTAAAGTTTCACTTACATAAAAGATTTGATATTTGAAATGCTAAGAGTTTCCCACTTAAACAGAATATATGCAAAGCGGAAGAGCAACTGAGAAAACCGATGTATACAGTTTCGGAGTTTTGGTTCTTGAAATCTTGAGTGGGAAACGACCAACGGATGCTTCCTTCATAGAGAAAGGCCTTAACGTTGTTGGTTGGGTATGCAAAATGAGATCCCTTTTTACGATACTGATGTTTTTGATTCTGTCAATTTCGAGACTAAAAGAAGATGATCTTTTGCAGCTAAAGTTCTTAATCAGCGAAAACAAGCCAAGAGAGATTGTTGTTCCAAACTGTGAAGGAATGCAGATAGAGAGCCTTGATGCTCTTCTTTCAATAGCAACACAGTGCGTGTCTTCGGTTCCAGAAGAGCGTCCCACGATGCATCGGGTTGTCCAGTTACTTGAATCAGAGGTCATGACTCCTTGTCCCAGCGACTTTTATGATTCCAGCTCTGACTGATTGCGTGAACCCACCGGAGAAAAACTAAAACCGAATCTGGTTTCTTGGGGATAGACTTCAGATGCATTGTGCCTATTCGATTTCCGGATTTGCAACCTCAAGAAAACCTGCAAATGCCAATGAAGAGCCATCCATCACTTTCCAGTAATGGAACAGAGTCTTTGTGTTTGTGTCGCCATTTATTTTTTTCCCCATAGTTTTTTACAAGATTCGTTCGTGCCATTCATTTTCAGCCCCCTTCTCTTTTTTATTTTTTTTATTTCCCTTCTGATTTTTGGTAAAAAACTTTTATTTGAACATGAAATTGAAATGTATAGTTGTGACCTTTATGTAGAAAAAACTGCTCTGCCTCTGAATTGTTCTTTTGAAATAATCCAAGTTTCTTCTTCTTGCCTTCCTGCATACTAACTATCCTTTGTGACAATAAGCAAGAAACAGTCTCAGATTCAAAATCTTGATTCAGTAACTGAAGCATGAACATTTGCTTTCATGCCTTTTGCTATATGTTGCCTAATAAGTTAATCTAACACAAAGAAAGTGTCAACTTTCAATCTCTTCATGTTCCAAACTCAACATCCAATTTGTAGTTTGATGCAGCACCGAGTTGATCTCATCCATTTTCGGGTGAGACGATGTTTCTCCAACGATAAACTCATGAGGAACCCCATCAACCTCCACGGAGCTGCAACCAGGAAACTTTCTGATTCCTAAATCTTTCATCTTCCTTCTCACACTCGTTACATCTTCCCATCTATTAGCAGATGCGTATACACTCGCAAGCAGAGTATGAGCACTTGAATCACTAACTTCCACTTTCTCCAGCTTCTTCGCTATCCGTTCAGCTAACTTGACATTCCCATAGTTCCGAGCAGCGCTTAGCAGAGAGCAGTACACAGGAACCAGAGTTTCATCGTTTTCATTTCGCATCTTATCTATGAGTTCCTCTGCTTCTTCTAACAATCCAGCTCTGCATAGTAGATCAATCAAACAGCTGTAATGTTCTGCTTTAGGTATGATCTTATGTTCTTCGGTCATCGAACGGAAAACTCTACGTCCTTCTGCTACAAATCCACCATGATTACAAGCTGTTAATACCGCTACAAAGGTTATATCATCTAATCTGACACCAACATCTTCCATTTCGACATACAAGTCCAACGCTCTCCTTGACATACCGTTCATCGCAAGACCGTAGATAAGTGATGTCCAAGAAGCCGTGTCTCTCTCCTTCGTCTCGTAGAAAACCTCTAGAGCCGTCTCTATGCACCCACATTTCGCATACATGTCTACAAGAGCTGTACCAACTACTTTATCTACCGTGACTCTGTTCTCATGTATGTACCTATGGATCCATTTCCCTTGCTCTAGAGCTCCCGTCTGCGCACAGCCTTTCAAGAGAGAGACCAGCACGAAGTTATCCGGTCTAATCCCTTCGGTTTGCATCGACCCAAACAGCTCCAACGCCTCATCAAACCGGTTAAACTGAACATACCCATTCATCATAGCTGTCCACAGAACAACATCTTTCACAGGACTCCTCTCAAACAACTCTCTAGCCTCATCGATTCTACCGTTACTCACATACCCAGTGACAATGCTGGTCCAACACTTGACGTTCTTGCTTCTCATCGAATTGAAAACCACTTTAGCTTTATTGAGACACCCGCATTTACAGAACATATCAACCAAGGCATTCCCAATCTTTACACTCGTTTCGAATTCTGTGACAACATACCTGTGAATCCCTTCACCGATTTCAAGATTCTTCAAAGCCGAACAAGCTGAGAGAGTGCTCACGATTGTACTTTCGTCCGGTTTCAAATTGCTCTCCCGACTCATCCGTTTAAACACAGCAATGGCATCCTCAAACCTCCCATGCCCAACGTAACTAGAAATCAACCCATTCCAAGAGACAACATCTCGTTCAGGCATTTCGTCGAACACTTTGTGAGTAATCTCCATCTTCCCCAATGCAGCATACATTCCCATGAGTGAGTTACTTACATAAGAATCGAACTCAAGCCCAGCTTTCACAGCGTAACCATGAACTTTCTCACCTTCTAGAACCTTCCTCAAACGTCCGATTGATTTCAGAACAACCGGCAAAGTGAAATTATCCGGATACAAGCCTTCTCCTCGCAATTCACCGAACAAGGCCAAAACTTTCGAGAAGCTTTTAGTCTCAGCGAAAGATTTGAGCATCTTGTTGTACATAATAAGCGATGATGGAGTCTGTACAGAGCCCATGTTCATGTCAAATACTCACTTGACACAGCACACAGGCTTGAAATAAAAACTATAATCTTTGTACAGGAAACGGCGTTGAAAGGTTTTCCGTTTAAACCAGGCTTGAAGATTTTTAGGGTCTGGCCAAATAAAAGAATTGAAATGTAAAAGTTGTGAACTTTGTAGAAAAATTGCTCTGTTTCTGAATAATCATGCTTCTTCTGCATACTATTATTATCCTTTGTTACCAAACTCAGAAACAGAGTCTTAAGATTCAAACTCGAATCGGCTTCTGAAGCTGATTTCAACTGACGTCCGATTTGGCGATTATAAACGCCGATTCAGCAGCAAAGCTTTTCTTTTATCTAAAAAGAAGCAAGCTTTATGAGAAAATAATGAAACAGAAACTAGATCATTAACATTTTCAGAGTAATGTTACATAAGAAAGTAGAGGACCAATCAAACAGAAGATACAATAGGAATCTTCTCACAAACGGCGTGTAGAAACAGAGTCAAGAGTAGACTATGATGATACATGAGAAACAGAGAGAAAAGAAAACACACTATGGTGTCTCTTACACACAGATCATATTTACTCGTGGAAACATATCATACTTTTTAAGTATGTATATATTTATGTTATATGTTAAAGAAACGAGATCATTGTTGCTTGAGGTTTGCTTCCACAATTTTGCTCGCAGGAGCTTTCTCTTGTTTCTCCACATAAGCCGACGGAAACCATCCGGCTTTGCCCTTGTACTCTCCTTCCGACCAGCCTGTCCCCGCCACCTGAAATTGTTTCATGAAACACAACGAGATTGTTGTTTACATCGACCTTTCTCTGTTTTGCATAATCGAAAGAAGGGTGACGAGAAACTGTACCTGTCGTACGATTACATAATCATCAACAGCTAGACTTAGCTCCCCTTGGGCTTGAGCATCGAACGGGTGAACAACCTGTTAAAAACAAGAACACATAACTCTTGTTTCCTCGGGGTTTGTAATAATCGACTCTAACCGAGTTAAGAGTTCCAAAAAGACATTACTTTTGCTAGAAAGTAGGAATCATTTTGGCTGAGAAGTTGATGATTGTGATGATCATCAGATCCATTCGAGTTTTTGATCTCTTCCTGTGGACTAGAAGACTTGACTTCTTTCTGAGGACTGGATCTGGTTTCTACTTCGGGACTAGACTTTAATTCGTCCTTTGGATTGGGTTTGGTTACTTCTTTGGGAGTAGACGTGGTTTCTTCTCGGTGATTTGATTTGATCTCTGCCTCCGGATTCAAATTCGTTTCTTCTTGGGGATGAGAAACAGCAGCCTCTATATGCAAAGGTAGTGACTTTGGTGATGATTCTATAACTTCTTCCTCAGCAATCATCTGAACAAGAAGACAACCAGATCACGTGACTAATCGTACGTAGCCTCATTATCTAAAGTTTAACATAAAGAGAGTTTACTGACCTCGGAATGTAGCTTATCGAGGATATCAAGAGCGTTACGATGATATGTTCTCTCGGCTTCAACCTGTGTAATGAGATTCCATTTCATATACCAAACCAGGGAGACCAGTAAAACAATCATGAGCTGAGACATGATCCAAGTGGAGATTACCAGAGCACGGAGGCGCTGATAAGTTACGTTCTGCTGCTGATTATCGACTTCTAACATGGCCTTAGTAGCTTCTTTGCCAAGGGTTTTCATACTTGATTTGAGCTCGGCCAATCTCGATTCAGAGTTCTTAAGCTTCATGTAGGTTTCTTCAGAAACATCAGATTCCTTCAACTTCGATCTTCTCCTCAGTACATCAGTTGCCTGTTCAAAAAAGAGCATCCACAAAATGGTAAATACTCGCAAGAAATTTCGAAATTGCCTTTAGAACAAACCAAAGAGACTTTACCTGTGCTTCGACTTCTTGTCTCAGCCTGTCGTAGTGATTCACTAAATGCCTAGCATCTTCCAAAGGCGCACTATATATCATTGTACGGATTGGCTCACAAACCTAAACAAAATAAATTTTGAAACTTTATTAAAAAACGAACTTATAATTTATACACTTTCAAAGTTCTGCAGCAAGATTAGAGAATGAAATGAGAAATGTTCCAAGATCTTACCTGCTCACTAAGAACTCCAAGGAGAGTTTCCCTACCATCTTCCACAGACTTGTAAGAGGTCCCAAAGTGATGTGCAATTCTTGAGAGAGGAGTGTTAGCATCTGGATTCTCGTCTCCATATTTCTTGAAATCTTCAGCAAACTTCAAACCTATGGATACACACCATTACAAATCTGATCCCAAGAGATATAACAAAAAAGAAAATGAGATGAAGTAAGAAACAAAAACGAAACTTACCTATCTCTACAACCTTCGTGCCTGTCGCGATGAAACCTTCGAGCCCACGAACGATGTTCCTTTGCAAACGCTGTGAACAGAAAGAGTTATGATGATGAATAAACCAAAATCATGAGATTTTTCCGAGAGAAGTGTTTGAGAAACCAAAATATCATTTAAACCTTTGCTGCCTTAGTAGAGCTATAAAGATCTTGAAGTTTCTGGTGACAATGAAGCTCTTCTTCATCAACAACAACAGCATCCGCATTAACATGACCTAAATGCTTCAAAACCGCCTGCACAAAAGTTTTATACAAATGAAGAAACCTACACAATCTCCTATGTAATTATACCGTAATCCACAAGCTAAAATCAATACAAAAATGCAAAAATCTATGCTGAAACAAGTGAAGGTCCACACTTTTCACCCTAAAAATAACTAATTCCTACGTCACCAAAATGATTTTTAATCCTAGCTGACCTGAAGACTATATAAATTAAACATCAGCACTTCAAAGATTCCTCTTTTATTGAAATCACACAATTAGTTTTCCAGATTTTTTCTTAGGTTATATTATACCAACCAGACATAAATCTAAGAAAAGGCATCTCGAGTCAGAAATCTAAAAAAAAGGCGAAATAAAAGAAAAAGAAATTCACTTGTTGTTGCCTCGCGACTTGCTCTCTGAGTTTCGCCGCTTGCTTTCTTATGGCTTCCATGGCTGAAAATCGAAACTAAGAAGACCCCAAAAAACTTGCTTTTTTGTTTTGTTTTCCTCCTCGCTCAAATCGGTAACTTCACTACCGACCGATAGATAGAGAGAGAAAGCACGATAGATTTCGACAAAAAGGGGTAGTTGAAAATTCTCAATTAGATGAAGCAGAGAGAGAAAGTCTGAGTTTTTGACATGGATCCATTAACTCTTTACAGGTAACAGTCTGAAAAGAAAAGGTAACGACAATGGAATGAGTTTTAGTGGAGAAAGTTGAAGCTACTCCTTCGGTTTCAGCACTTTCTTTATGAGTGGTCTTTAATTTTGTACTCATTTTAAACTATATTTTTTCCTAATTTATTTTATATTTTTATTCAATCGTTGAGGTCACTTGAGGGAAGCTTTAAAAAAATTAGTTTCTGGCAAATATTTGTTGGACCGCAAGAAAAAAACTAAATGCATTATCACATTTCTTTTGGGGTTAGCACTTAGCATATAACTTTAGGAAATAAAAAATTTAACCAAGTCTATTTCAAATGATAAGTATTTTTTTTAACTTAAAATAACTAGTCAATTTTATCGTCTAGCTTTATTTTGAATTACAACAATAATATAAGTTTCTCAAATTCTTTTTGAAAACATTTTATTAATACACATTATCTACTAACTTTTATTATTTTTAACTTAAACTAATTAAAAGCCTAAATATTTTTCTTTGTTAATCTTTATTTTATTTTTTACCAAATCCAAGCCTAAATAATAAATAACAGTAAATAAAAAAATTATTTTATTTTTTGCCATCTCCAAATCCAAGTAATAAATAACAGTAAATAAAAAAATTAAATCTTTGTTTTATATTTTTGCCAAACCGAAACTCAAATAATAAATAACCGCAAAAGATAAAAAATTATAACTATGGTTTTGCTTGATAGAGACATATATGATTGAAGAAAGTGTACACTCATCATCAACTATGCTTCCATAACAACAATGTAAAAAGCGTTATGTTATAAGAAGCTCATACATCAGCAAAAATTTGAACCAATAAAATAATAACAATAATACATATCATTAACACAATAATAAAATCAGTTTACTATTTTGCTGACCCATTAAAAAAGCCCAAGTTTACAAAAAATAGAAGTCAAAATCAAATGAGGAGAAGCTCAGACCACCATAACTTGTAGATTCGCATTTTCGGTGGTTATCGAGAACAAATTTTTTTGAGTTTGGTGGGAATAGAGAATTTTTTGGTTTCGGTAGGAAAATGTAATTTTCAGTTTTGGTAGGAAAACATAATTTCTCGTTTATGGCGGAAAAAGCGAATTCTCGAGTTTGGTGGAAAAAATGTGAATTTTTCGTTTTGGTGAGAAAAAAAAAACTTGATTTTGACTCGAAAATAAAATATCTTAGTTTTGACGAGAAAATGCGAGGGAAATGCAACTTTTCAATTTTGAGGAAAAATACGATTTCTCGGTTTTGATAGAAAATGCAAATTTGCGGCTTTTGATGGATACTATGATTTCTAGATTTTCACGGAAAAATATGATTTCTTAGTTTTTGTGGAAAATTGTAATTTGACGATTTTGACGGAAAACGCAATTTCTCGGTTTGATAGAAGAACAAAATTTTTCGATTTTGGCGGGAATAAGCAATTTCTCGGTTTTGATGGGAAATGCAAATTTTCAGTTTTCAACATATAATGTGATTTTTGGTTTTCGCGGGAAAATGCGATTTCTTAGTTTTCGCGGGAAACACAATTTTTCAGGAGATAATACAATTTTTGGTTTTCACGGAAAATTTTAGTTTATCGGTTTTGGTAGGAATGCGTGATTTTTGGTTTGACGAGAAAAACAATTTTTTTTTTGTTTTGCGGGAATAGACAATTTCTCGGTTTTTGCAGAAAAATATTTTTTCGCTTTTAACGGGAAAATACGACTTTTTGGTTTTTGCAAAAATATGAAATTTTTAGGTTTTGGTGAAAAAACTTGATTCTGTTTTGGCGGATAAACACAAGTTCTTGCGGGAAAATATGATTTTTTTTGTGTTTGCGGAAAATGCAATTTCTTTGTTTTGGTGGAAAAATAAAATTTCAGGATTGACGAGAAAATAATTTTTTTTGGTTTTAGCAGGAATAGGCGATTTTTCAGTTTCGTGGAAAAATAATTTTTTTTGTTTTGTCAGAAAATACAATTTCTCGGTTTTTGTAAAAAGATAAAATTTCTCTGTGCTAAATTTTCAAGTTACAATATATTTACAGTAACCAAAATTGAATTATTTAACTTCAACTAAATTGATATTTTAACTGTTCAAACAGAACTTTATATTTAGTTCTAAAGCAATAACAATGGTTTTGATATGAATGTTACTGATTATAGTTTGGTAGTTTTAAAAACATATGTTTCTAATAAATATTTGATAAATAAATAAATTTTATAATTCAAAATAATCATGTTAATTAATAATTTTTTTAAATGGTAATTTGTTTTATATAATTTCAAAAGAGGATTAAGTGGCAATTTAGTAGAGAAAATAAATTACATTTGCCATTAGCACGAAAGTACTTAAAAATATATCATTTTATTCTTAAATATACATTTATATTTTATAGATTATTAGCTAAACAAATTTGATAGTAGATTATAATTTAAAAAATAATAAATTAAGGATATATAGGATTTATTCAGATTTAAAATATATAAAAATATATATTAAAAATATATACAAAATTTAGAAAAATATTCCACATTGTAGCACAGATAAATATCTAGTACTTCTTTAATTTGTACTATGGTGTAGCCATTTGTTTTTCGTGTTTCAGAAATAAAATAAAAATATAAAATTAAAAAAATTGTTAATTGCATTACTTATGGATCACTCACACGCTTAACTCCGATTGCCGATTTTTCCACCGCCGTACCTAAATCATCGTAAAATATGGAATCGAGTAGCATAATAGTAGTTCCGGAATCGATTATGATGTTTCCGGTGGTTGTCTTCTCTGGTTTCCCAATGTCGTTTAAACCGGATCCTCCTCCTCCGATGTATGAAAGCTTGGTTTTGCCGAAAGTCCGGCAAATTCATTTTGGCCGTAAGAAGTTTGATTCACAGGAAGAATATCATGACAAAATGAATTTTTTTTTTTTTGTTACTTTCCAAATTCATAGCAAGACTGAAAAATATTTTAAAACAAAAAGTAATCAGCAAAGAGTCCCGAAAAATGTCTTAAAACAAAAAGTAATAAGCAAAAATCTTTACAAACTTAAACTTCTTAATTGATGTAGACTTTTGTCATATTTAAATTTCTTAAATTAACATTAAATTAGAAATTTAATTTATACACGATAATTAAAAAAAAGTTAATTGTAAGTAAATACTTGCATAATCAAATGAACATTTTCTCTATTACTAGAAATGTTTCCGCGCTATGCGCATATTGTTTTTATAAATATTTAGTTATTTATTTTAATATTAAATTAATATTTTAAATATAATATTTGGTTATACATTAAAATATTTTTAACCTATTTAAAAAATGTATTTGATTTAATTTAAAAATTTACTAACTTGATATATGTGAAAAATAACTGTTAATCCAAAACTTAATATTTTTATATAAACTCATACAACAATTTCCGAAATATTATTAAAATTAATATTGTTTTAACTAAATACAATTCAACAACTTCAAGTTTCTTTTTTGTTTAATTTAAAACTTTTTTCATTTTTTCTATTTTAAATAAAAAGAAAATAACTTATCAAACATATAACTACAACTGAAGCACATAATTATTGTTCCAATTAATTTGGATTTCTTTTCATTTTAAATATGTACATGTAAAAAAAATTTCATTAGCAGTCTCAAATACAAAACAACAGTCAATATCTATAACTCTTACAAATCTTTAAAAGAACTATTGTTCATATAAAAAAAAAAAACATTTACATAGTAAACAAAATCACAATCATATTGATAAACTACAATTTTGATTTGATCCCTGAAGCATCTGTAAACTATAGAATTTGTAGATGAATAAAACAAATAATACATATACAAATACAAATTTATACTAACTCATTTTATTAAACAAAGTATATTGAGTTTCTCAAAACTTAAAAAGTGTAAAAGATTCATTTACATTTGGTTGTGATTTAACTTATGTATTTTTCATACACCACACATATATTTTGATGAGTCTTTATTGTAAAAACTCAAGTTAGACTTATAAGAGAACTAGAGTTTGTAGGTTTAAAGAGATATCTTTTATTAGAAGAAGCCGGAGCTTGATAGAATACAACAGTGTTTAAGATCGTTGGAATAAAAACGCCAACCTAAAACTATATGGAAAGAGAATCAAGACTAAGAACAATCAATATGTGCTTAATTTGCTCTAGGTCTCTAAAGTGGATTTCTGAATGCTTTTGAGAAGTCTAGGACTTCCTATATTTATAGCTGGTCAGGTCAGTATTCGATGTATGTTTAGAATAGGAAAGTCTTCTTGCCGATAAGAAGGAACTTCCTTTTTCCCGGGTTTGCTTGATAAATGGAAGGTTTCCATTTGCTCAGCCGTCCTGAAACTTGTAGAATGGGCCAACCAGAATTCATATCGGGCTTGTAGAGATGGTACGAATCTCATCTCTAACAGTAAGTCCCCCCCAGTTTGGCAAGCGAGGGCGCGTTTGCTTGGCGAATTTTAAGAAATGTTGCTTCGATATGGATTCTGGTCGGCTGCAAAAGGTGTTGGAAAAACATAAAATGTAAAATTACCTTGAGTTCAGATCGGCATGATGTCATGGGTTTGATGAAGAACTTGGGCGCGAAAAACTCCCACCAAAAGACTTTGTATAGTAGACCTAGGTCTGCGCATGCAGAACTAGGGTTAACACGTGTCAAATGTTAACAGAGGAAAGGGAAGGCGTCGATTAAAACAAATAGGAAGAAATGCGAAAGGTCGCCGAGCTCATGATGACTCTCGATAACCGTCCAGACTTTTGTATAAAAAGAGGGGCTCGGTTCTCATTTCTTCACTTTTTGCAATTTTAGCGAAACTCTGTCAAATTTCAGGTTTGCTCTCTTTTCTCTTCTCTTTATTTTTCGTTTAGATATTTTCGACCAGGCCTCCGCCGAATTTCGTTCTTCCGCCGTCAGTTTGATCAATCGTCAGAGTCCGATCAGAGAATGAGCAAAGTCGTGAGAATCAGGGAAAACCGATTTGAGTTGGAAAAAGGCAGGTCGGCCCAGGAAAAAGCCAACGAGATCGGCATATCTGTTGAAGAATTTCACCGGATGCAGAGCGACGACCAGGCTGCAAGGAGCTGATCCAAAGGAAAGAA